GTGTGGTGCTCGCGGCGTGCACTGCCTCTGGCGCCGCTTTCCCCTCTTTTCCCAGGCAATTCCCGGGTTTATTTTTTTGCAAGCGGGAGCGGGGGGGATCGCCCCCCATTGGAGGTGCCCGTGGGGCGGCAGAAGCGCTGCCAAATTCCCTTTTGCAGAGCAGCTCCCGCCCGGAGCTCCCCCTCGCCCTGCCCGTGGGACAGTGATGTTTATAAACCCAAATCACTGGGAAAAAAAACAATAATCCCAACTATTTCCCCCTTTGAGTGCCTGTTTTTTTTTACCATCCAGCTACAGGAAAACCCCCCGATGCAGCGAGGGCTGCGGGAAGGCGGCAGCCGCACGAGCCTGGCCGGGCACGTGGCCCCGTTGCCACTGGGAGCAAATTGCCCGGCGGCAACGGAGCCGGCGAACAGATAAGAGCCAGGCTGAGAGGCCCCAGATAAGGCACTAAAATTAACCCGGGCCTCATAAACCAGGTGCAAACGAGTGAGATTCTAAACGCCCTTTTGCATTTAATTCACGGCATGTGCGTCGGGACGGCAGCGGGACGCGGGGGTGAAGCGGCGAACGCGGTTTCCAGCGGGGCTGCCGGGGGGATCTGCAGCCCCTCGTGGTGGTGCCGGCCCTACCTGCTGCCGGCTCTGCTCCTCCAGGTTGAGCTTGACCTCGAGCGACTGGCGCGCCTCCAGGAAGGCCTTGCGGTGCTTGCGGTCCGCCATGTAGTAGGACATGGTGCCCACGGTGATGGCGCACAGGTAGATGGCAACGTTGGACAGGAGCTGCGGGGGGAAGAGCGCTGAGGGTGGGGGAAAAGACAGCGAAAAAACACCAAGACCCACCCTGCCCAAAGCCAAAAATGTGAGTTTGTCCCTCCATGTGTCCCGACACGGGTTGCAACGTCTGGGAACGCCCTTGGGACACATTGTATGACCCAGCCTTGGGCAAGGATCCCAGAATCCCAGAATGGTTGAGGTTGGAAGGGACCTCTAGGGATCCCCCAATCCAACCCCTGCTCCAGCAGGGACACCCAGAGCACGGGGCACAGGGGGCATCCAGGCGGGTTGGACATCTCCAGAGAAGGAGCCTCCACAGCCT